TGGTTATTTATGCAGTGTGTCTTACTCATTACTATTTCACCTTCTTCATGCGGACAATAAACTCGCAGACTCCTGCATGTACTCTTATCCATGCATTCCTCTTCCTGTAATTTCCTGTGATTTTCAAACAATCATTCCGAATTGCATTGCTCCATGTGTAGTCAATGAATAACTTACAGACTTAGTCTGTGCGTTTCGCACTCATAGGTTAGCACTGGGAGCGCACAATGACGTTAAACTTGAAACTCCATTTCAAGCACAGGGGTTTTTCTCGAATAAGAAAATATTCAGTCTTCCGAAACTGCACAATGTTTTTTTTCTCTTCTGTTCTATTTGCAGAGAAGAGTTTCCCCATGTAGAGCTGGTTTTGTTCGTCTTCAAGCTTTAGTTCATTGATTTCAGCAGGTTGCGAGGACATGTTTGTTGTTAAACAGGGCCTGAGTCTTGTTCAGGTTCATTTTCAGTTCTTCTTTCATGTTGGCGTTGTTCAACTGTCAGATTATTTTTTGGAGTCCTTCTGGTGGCCTGGAGAATGTCAGATTGTTAGCCACAAACTGGGGTGACTTAAGTATTATCCATTTATATTAAACCTCTGATTTCCCCAATGGAGTGTCTTGTAAACTTCTTCAAGGGTTGCGGGGAATAACTTATAAGTGATATTGCATCCCGTTGCTGGACATCACTTTTGATTTTGAACTCGCTCGTGCTTTCGTGAATCTTAACACTAGGAGTTGCATTCTTGCAAAATCATGGCATTGAGGTTTCTGTATTTTTTCTCGGTTCCCTGACTCCTCAGAGAATCCAGTACAAAACGAGCGTAGGTTAAATTAAATGCATTCTCGAGATCGACGAACTCCAGGTAGGGATGAAGCTGATATTCGTTGTTTGTCTGAATTGCTCGTTCTCCATAACTTTATGAAGTACACAGATTAATTACTGAGCTCTTGTCTCGTTGAATAATAGTCAGTACAAAGATTGCTTAGATATGATTATTTCATTTGGCTGTAGATATGTTGAGCTGTGTTATTTTTACTCTTGTTTGCTGTTGCAAAACAGCTTAGCAAGAGTCGTCGCTCTGTAATGTTTTGAATTGACACCTTTCTCGTGTAGCCACCAAGACGGACCTCGAAGCTGAGCGAGTTGTTTCGGCCGCGGAGGGCGAAGAGTTGGCCAAGAGTGAACAGATGGGCTTCTACGAAACGTCTGCCAAAGAGAACCTCAACGTGGACGTGGCGTTCAGCAACCTGGCCACCGAACTGAAGAGCCGCTACTCGGCCGGTGCCACGCTCTACGAACTGCCGGATGCGAACAGAGTACAGCTTGGAGCTCGGTCGACTCCGGTTCGAAGCCGGTTCTTCGATTGCTGTAAATTTTAGCTGACTTTGTACGTCTTCTCTAGGCTTCGTTTTTGTTGTATTCAGTTTTTCGTCACTCTTCTGCTATTTACTTAACGTAGATTTTTCCGGTGTTCGTTCGTTCGTTCGTTCCGTTTTACCCTGTTGTCGTTCGTTCGTGCCTCTTTAAAACATGAATGAAAGTTTTATCGCTTGTCGCTTTTCCTGCGCAAAACTGTTACGGACCGTATTTTGTGTGTGATTCGATGATTCCCGCTGTTCATTGAAGTACGTCGAGTAGGAATCATCATGGATGACGCGCAGAACGACGTGCGTTTCAAGAACGCCGTCATCCGCCACCTGACTCTT